AAGTGTTTCTTGGCTGCTCACTGCATGTTTCCCCTATGGCAACGACTTCACAACCCTAACCCTCTTGGTATCAACTACTCCGACGCCTCTATGTTTGACTACTGGTTAGTCCTATACATTAAACACCATATGTGACAACATCTGCGACAATACCTGCGACGACTCCATGTTAGGAGGCTACCCCTATCATATGGAAATACCGACTATCCTCAGTCAGAACATACCCTCAGTCAAGTTCACTTACCCTCGGCCGAAGCGGCACAAATGGGCGATAGTGAGACTGAACGTGATGGAGAACACGGCATATGCTGGAAGTATGTGGAAGCAGATTAGTATAATCTAGGGAAGGATAAAAGGCAGCTTGTTTTTCCCTTGATAGTTGTTTTCGTTCGTTATCCAATCTGTCTCTCTTTCCTCCATTACTCGCATTTGAGTTATATCAGTCTTTCCCGTTTCTTATTACCTATTGTTGTTCTTTGCGAGAATACTTCTCCAGTTCGGATATTGAAATTCATCTTTACATCTTTGCCCTGCTTAAGTCAACATTGTCCAAATCGCTGCCGTAATCCTTTGTTGTTTATAAGCAGGTGCCTCTTCCCCCCCAATCAGCCCCCCCAAGCCCCACACACCAGATGCCACAGAGCCCATCCAGCCCCCCCAGCCCCTCAGACAGATCAACCATCCGACAGCCACAGGACAGCTTATACCCAGCCCCGCCAGACAGCCATTGGTCTTGGCCACACGAACAGAGCCCAAACCCCCAGCACTGTATGGCCAAGGGAGGCCCACCAGCCACAGCCGGGAGCCACAAAAGAGGCAGCACTAGTACCCAAAGGCACCTGCACCAGCCACACCATCCAACCCAGCCGAACCGAAATCCAACCGAGTCGGGAAAGAGTAGGCAGAGCTAGCCAAAGCCAGCCCCACAGGTCCGGCATTAGGCACGGACCGAACGACGGGCAAGAGGCACACCCAACTGATGCAACAAGATGGGGGAGGGCGAACGAACAGAAGCAGACAAACAGAAGGTAGGCCCCACTTGCAATGGGTGAAGCCGCCAACCACAGACCACAACAGGACCACCCAAACGCACAGACAACGCGAGTGCCTGGCAGCTAATCGTCTCACACCACCCCAGGCGGCAACAATAACCACACCAGGGGGTAAGATTTTTCAGGGTCAAAGCCATCCCCACAAATATGAGGAGGAGACGCCTGACTGAATCACCGTAAATGCCGCAAGGACAAAAACTCCAAGGGAATGGCGATAAACAACATCATAGGATTCCGACCGTAGAAACGAAAATGTAACGAAGAGGGGCTGGGTGGGAACCGCCCTGCCACATGAGGAATGATGTAGCCGGTACGACGAGTTGATACTTGGGATGGTCATCAGTCTAACCCAAGGGCGTTTTGTATCGCGAGAACTAAGGACTCCATTAAAACCCAACAAAAAACATGAGCTGGCCCAAAGAACGACACGGGTGATCCCCCTAAACACAATGTTCAATCCCTCCAATCGAACGCGAAACCTGTAAGTAGACGATAGACAGGAAGCTGTAAACATTTTACCAAAAGGGGCTCGTATGCGACCGCGATGAAGTGCTCAAAGTGCTAGTATCGTGAGATAACCAACCCAACGAAACGAGATGCAAACAAGTTATCCGCCACGCAACACCTAACAGACCTCAATACCAAAGACCCCAGAAACTACTGAGTGAACTCAGATATCTCCCCCAGAATCCGAGACATCAAGGCCCATCATGATGGTGACAGAAACACTCGAGGCGAAGCGACAGCAAGGACAAGGAAAAGTACTTAGAACAAAGCGTGAAGAACCTATCTTCCTCGGCCGCCTCGGCCTCCTTATATAGTGTTCTTCCCGCCCCTAGTCATGTGACCTAAAGTGGTCACATGTGCGAAACCAAATCATAACAAACTAGTCATGTGACCAAAGTGATCACATGCTCAAAATCCATGACCTCATAACGAGGTTATGTGCAAAAACTCATAAACCAATCATAACACAATAAACAAGTCATATGACTCGACTGAGTCATATGCGCGAAACCCATGACCTCATAACGAGGTCATATGTAAAACATAAATCATATGCGCAAGGCTTACCCGTAAGGCACACTCGCAAGGCATATTTACCAGGCGCACGTCCCATGACTCATACTTGAGCCATGTGCGAAAGCATCACAAATCCCACACATAACAAATCATATAACCCGAATAGGTCAGATGCGTAAAACAATAACATACCTGTGACTCATAACCATGTGTCACGTGAAAACCTTTTCCATGCCAAGCCACATTCATGACACCAAGTATCAAATGATACTTAAAACAAACCAAGTATCAAAGCGATACTTAAAACAAAACATAAAATAAAACCAATAACCAAGTACCCGTACCAGTTACAGCCAGGCTTCCTCATGATAAAAACACGACCCTTAACTCCTCCCAACCAAATGTAACACTCGTCTGTCCACAGTACATTTCTCCAATTTTCTCGAGCCCAATTCTAGTGATTGGAAGCAAACTGTAGTCTCTTTTGCTTCATTAGAGCTGTAAGAAAAACCTTTCTTCAAGCAACTCGTCGCCCATAACCCTCCTTCTTCCAGGCTTTCCATAGTGTGCATTCGGAGGCTTAAATACCACAGATTTCGGCAATATCGAGCATCGGTTTTTGTCTATTTTCAGCCTTGAGGATCGCAGTTTGAATTAATCGATGTCTGGTCGGTGTATCAAGCTTCTCTGGATGACCCTTTTTCTTTTTAGGAGTCGCAGGAGCATGGTAAATATTCCAGGCGGTTCCAATACTGACATTTTGATTATCAGCAATCTGTTCATAGGTCCACTTTGCCTCGAATCGAAGACCTTGGATGGTGCATCTCTGCTTGTAGGATGTCTCATGGGTCTTGACTGGCATTTTGGTACTTTTTTGTACATGATGTAAAGCAGGTGTTTGATTTCACATACAATTCTCTACCTCCTATTCTCACATCACATTTAATAGGACTCAATATCTTTGCTTTGACCTCTGATATCCTACCGGACAGCAAAACACATACTAGTTAATCCCTTCCACAATCCCTGTCATACCCTGGCCATCCCCCTGGTCTTATGCCCCCGGTTTTCAGATACTTATTGCCGGATACGAGTACCGCCATCCCCTACCTTACGCACCCTTGTCCCAATTTTATCATTTCCCATAACCCCATTTCCTCAAGAGAGGGGTTTTTTTTTTTCCGCTTCTCTTTTTTAGACCCAACATCATGGGAGTGATTTCACATAATTTTCTCCGCTGTGCACGTGGAGGTATTACAGTGCTCGAGTAGGGTACCGTTCCGCTCGGATCGTAGCGGAACAGGATTGAGGTGAAGAAGAAGAAAACACCCCTACCCCTGCCACTCCGGAGCGAGATATAGACGAGAGAACGATTTGAACTGTCACACAGTCTCATACTGTTCATTCCATCCCCAAGCTCCGGGGGAGGGGCTCGATTCCCGGAGCGAGAAACCACATGAGCGGTCCCCAAACCACAATGCAATCCCCTCTTGTCGCTAGTATAAATTTGACAAGTGAACAGCATTCCTAAAAGTCACCTCGTGAGAAAAGATGACACTAGCCGCCAAGTTCTTTATTCGTGTCGGAGAGCACAGTGGACGTCAGGAACTTTGTTTTTCTAGCAAACTGGGCTCGAACCCTTCTTGCTCGCGACGACTAGCTAGCTCTGCAGCAGGAGAGATGGTAAATAACTCCAAATAAGTAATGGAATAACTAGATGGCGCGAGCGCATCCCACAGTGAATACCATTTAAGACCACAAAGGGCGGGAAAAAGTAAATCTATCAACCATCAGCTCTAAAAGTCACCATGCCGCCCTCTTCCCCATCTTATCATATCATTCCCAATCGAGAACCCCCACAAACGACCACCAGAAATTCCCCGCCCGCACGAGCCAAGCCACTTCAAGTCCAGTCTCCGAGGGCTTGCGCGAGCTCGTGAGAGACAGTACACTCACCCCAAGTCAGACTATCACGACTCAGCACTCGTTCCTTCTCATCAAAACTGAGGGGGAGGGGAGGCACTGTGCACTTCCAGGTCTGGAGTGGAATCACATTAGAACTCGCGAACCGGGGGTATGAGCCTCCTATAAGCTAGCTGCGGCTGTGTCCACCATCCATCTGTAGGCTCTGCGAAATTCTTCCGATATTAGTCCATACTCCTATACCACTACCAAAAGGCTGAGGTATGATACAGAAGTGCTCTGTTGCTTCCGAGTACCTACTACCAATACAGATCTGCGGAAGCGATCTAGCGCACGAAATTTACCACGGGAAAATCGAAACAATCGCCTCCATACCCATATCAAAGCTACTACTATCTCTCTAGACACTCCACCGAACCCGGGGGTTTACAGCGCCCCCTCCCCCTAGTTTGAACTTTAACCTTATCATGTCCCAGCAACATCCGAGGGGCCAAGACGACTCCGAGCTAGATCTAGGTAATTTACCATACGCTTCAGACCCCAGGGTTGAACTTGGACTAAATCCGTATCTGCAGAATGGAAAAGCAAAAAGAATAATTGTTTTCAGGGCCATATTGTAGTTAGGCCCATCTTTATTTTCGTATCAGAAGTATGACGCCTATGTTCTTTGAAGATAATAAGACAAGTACCCAAGAACTGATACGTAGACTTAACTTTGGCTTCGATATAATAGTAATGTGAAACATACAACTAGGCGCTAATTAAATATACAACCAGTTTTATCCTCCCCATTAATAACTGTTCAAACACAATATAATATATAGGCAATTCTGAACCCTTCCCCTATTTTTTCCAAATTCCACGTAAATTATTAAATTTTACGGTAATTTACGGTAATTTACGATTCCCTCCCCAATGCTACTCCGAGCATCGACACCGACTGTCTCGAAATTAGTTCCCTATGATACCTTACTCGCGGATCACAATGTCACTGCACAAATCTTGGATCTATTCCGACACCACCACACAATTCTTTTCATTTTAACGCGCGCAAACAATCTGTCCATCCACCTGTAACCTACATAAGAAATCATCTTCCCAAACATACCCCAATTCAAACAAGCAAGACGAAAATAGATATAATAATCAGATAAACGAAGAAAACACCTTCGCCAACACAGAAATGGAGAACCCCTTTAAAAACCGCCGTCATAAAAGCAACACATAAAGAACACTATGGACGAAAAGATGCAAAGTCTCCAGAAAATGCCCATACATCCGCGACAAGATATAAAAGAAATATTCCCACCCATCCGATACATGCGCTTCCACACTAGTTATTCACAAAAGCTCCTCCGTCGACCGCGATCTGTGCTCCGCTGACGTACTTCGCCCCCTCGCTTGCGAGCCAGACTGCCGGCCCGACAACATCACTCGGGACACCCAACCTGCCGAGAGGAACCTTCTTCTCGAGTCTGCCGCGTTTTTCCATGTCTTGAAGCTCCTCCCTGTTCATCTTGGTCTGTACAACTCCCGGTAGCAACGCGTTACAGCGGACACCGTAGGGACCTAGGGAAATAGTTGTTCCCTGCATGAGTGAGAGGAGACCGGCGGCGGTGGGATTGTAGTGCGCTTGGTGTCCATTCCCCGAAAGTGCGCCCGCCGAGGAGATGAAGATTATAGAGTAGTCTGGGATCGGATCGGGGCGAGGTTCGATAGGCATGGCGTGGAACTGCTCCTTGAACTGCCGAGCACAAGCTTGGACAAAATAGAAGTTGCCGTTTAGGTTAACGTCCACATGGCGGCGGAGGAGCTCAGGGGTGACCTGTTCATGTTATTTTTTGACCATTTGAGATCTAGATGGGAATGGGCACATACATCCAAGAATTCTCTATACCAGCACATCCCAGCATTTCCGACGGCAACGTCCAGTCTTCCGTAAGTCTCTACCGCTCGCTTGACGATGTTGTCACTCGTTCGGGGGTCGGATATATCACCAAAGACAATTGTACAGCCTTGCCCCATACTTCTAATCTCTACACACAAAGATACGATCTCTTCATTGGCAGGATCACTCTTAGTACCCCAGTAGTGTGCGATGATGTGTGCACCCTCCTTGGCAAACCCTAGGGCAATAGCCCGACCAATTCCCCGCGAGGCTCCGGTGATAGCACAGATCTTGCCCTCAAGCAATCGGGGCCGAAGAACAGGCTGGGATGGGGCCGTCAACATAGCGTCACCGGTAACGGTGGATTCATCGACCTCGCTGGATGCAACCTCAACAAGTGCTTGGGAATTATCGTGTCTGTGGTCTGATTGGGGAGATGGCTGTCTGATCAGCTCCAGGACCGGGGGCTCGGCCTCGATGACGTGGACACCATCCCGATGGCGGGATCTCTCACGATCATGATGCTGACTTCGATAATCCCTGGGGGTTCGATGATCACGTTCATCTCGGTCACTTCGGTAAGCATCATCCGGGTGGTGATAGTCACGGTCATGGTAATCTCTATCCCTTGGTGAATCCGGCAGAGAGCCCTCATTCATGCCGTGCTGTGGAGGTGGGGTGTCAATGGTAGCCTTGATATCCTTCTTCCTCTTTCGCGACTTGTTGTTGTCCGTGATCTGAAGAACGATTTGCCCACCGCCATTGCCAGCAGGATTGATAGCAATTGATGTCTTCGTCTCTTGGACTAGTCTCTCACGTTCCGAAACCGGTTCATTGGGTGGGGTAGGCGCTGCAGGAGGGTTATAATTGGAAGAGCCCCCTCGTGGGATGAGTGCATTCGAAATAAAATCGGAAGGAGTGAGAACGTCTACAGGGTCTCCATCAGATTCCGAGGGGGGGGGTAGTGAGTGTGACCGTGTAGGCTGCCTAAGTTTGCCATGGGGGGAGGTGTTGGTGTTGCCCCATCGTTCCAAGAAAGCACTCCTGAGGTAGTCGAAAGACATTGAGTCGTGTTTACCTTCGGATGGTCATGCGTTAGCGGGGTTTATGGATAGGTCTGGGGTATATGGAGGGGGTAAAGTAGAAAAATACTTACAGTCAGTACAGTCTGGTTGACTGCAGTGTGGGTTCTTCCTCAGCCAGTCTTCACCTGAAATATATGTCAGTAAAAGATTGGTGGGGCAGAGCAAAGTGACCAAAGGCTACTGTTGGTGCATATATCTAAATTACTGCAACCGTCTCACCCAAGCCGGCTCGGCAAGAGGGGGTAGCGAATAGGGTGCAACCAGCCAGGTCACAAAAGGCAGGGATAATTAACGTACTCAAATCCATAAGCCACCGACCAGGCGTCATTCCCCTACCAGCGCCCCATACATTCGTCGTATCAATCGTTTTCACGAACAAACTCCTGTAACACCAATCGCATTAGAACCCCCTTGGAAAGAAAAAACACCAAACAAAACATCAAAATATCCTGTGAGCCTCACCATTTTCCAGCGTCAGTAGCTCGAGGGTATGCGAGAGAACAAAGCCTCTCAAAACGTTGCATGTGCTTCCATGCTGAAGTTCGGGGAGTGAACTTCAAATTTTTCAATTCTGTGGCAGGATCCATCATAGACATCGTTTGAATGATAGAAAGTCTTTCTCAGTTGTTTGCCGTCTCTGCTTCCCCAGTTTAGTAGGTGGCGAGCAGATCTGTGCCTGAAGACGAGTAAGCTTCAATGAAAATGGATGAGTATCGATATTTTCTGAAGAGCAAGGAGCGATGAAAGGTAAGCAGGGCGGATATATAACGAAAAAAAAAGGGAAGAAACAAAGAGGAAAGTGTGGGATGAGTCGAAAGACAACGAGATGAGGATATAAAAGCAGGGTTGAAGACAGAGGCTGTGTGTGTTTACTTCACGGGTTTTCCTATTCCGTGGGCTTCTAGAAGGCAACACTTCTTCGCACTTTCCAGCAGAGAAGGGAAAGAAAAATAAATGTTGAGGCAAAAAATAAAATAAAAAATGCACAAGCAGGCGGCACGGCAGGTTAAAGCAGTGACGTGATAGGGCAACGGTTTTACCTTGAAGACTTACAGTGCCCAGAGCTGGTGAGGGGACAACTAAGAAAGGCGCTTGGTACCCGTCGGTTGTTGGCAGGGATATTCTTAGACAAGCTGCGTGAAAATGAGGGGTGGGGTTGGTTCAGAGGCAAGTTCAATGTTTCCCTTAGACGCTGGAGCGTTCACCGGTGGCAAGGAATTAGGGTTGAGAGGGAGAAAAGCAGTAGGTAGACAAGGGGAATGTGATGATGGTGATTGTGGTGATGATTATAGACGGGGCGGAGCTGTTGTTGCTGTTGTGTCGCTCTTATCGGCTTTCTGGTGTTGTCTCGAGATCAAACTGCCCTTGAATCAGCCTGTGAAGCCAATCCCAATCAAGCCACCCCCGCCAGCAAATCACCAGAGGACCAAAAAATATAGGAAGGCGGTAACAGGGAAGAGAGGGGGAAAAAAAGACTCGGACCCACCCCAGCAGAGAGGAAGAAGGGGAGTAGGAAAATCTGATTCGATCCTCGGGTGCTTCTTGCAGCTGCAATGTTGCTGTCTTTGGTGAGGTACGAGTACCCTAGGTACTTTGCCTGCCTCTCCCCCCCACTCGCTTTCCCACTTTCTCCATTTTACAGCATTTTTCCTTTCCTCTTGTCTCTTTCTCCTCTAGGCTATATGGAGCGGGTAATCTAGGATAATGCGGGGCGCTGGAGAGGACCGGTCGGTTTCAACAAATCTTGGCGGTTGAGGGAGGAATATGAGGTTGGAGGGCAGCATTCTTCCTCACATATGAAGAGGTGGCGGCTCCTCAGTCTGCTCCGTGCAGTGCATTTCCATTTCACAACACCCCTCCAAGGGCAGATTGGCCGCTGGCTGACGGTAGTAACCCTGGATGGCAATCTCGACGTGTCAACCGGGGTCTTGTTTGCTTTGTGCCTCCCGATGGTCCGGGTCGGCGCCAGGGTTTTGTTGCAGAATATCCATTAGTCTGCCATATCCCCCCAGCTGGAGAAGTGCTGAGCACAGTATGATGGAATGGGGGGACTTCCCTACCTCGTATCTCGTGAGCATTGAAATTTCCCATTTACAGTAGAGCGCATAGGATAGCTCAGTGGTCTGTGGCACAGCACTCTCCGTCCCATGCTTCAAGTGACCATCTGCCAGAGGCCAATCGAGACAACCAACGTTGCAGCGAAAAAACCTCGAGTCGCCAAGGCGGCGGCGTCTCCCGAGAGAGACGTCCCGCATGGCCAATCAGGGCTCACCACGCACGAAATCCCTGAGCTAATCGAGTATCACACTCATAGCTTACAGGGTCCTTATCGGGAGGATGAAGCCTGCCCTTGTGTGGTATCCCTTGGTGAGGTGAGTGATGTCACAAAATCGGTCCGACATCTTGAAAGGAGCAGCATTCTTCGTGCTCCCCCCCAAGCAGAGCAGAAGTTCTACGAGGAGGCGGGGAAGGGATGAGTGAATCTCTTGCTGGCTGTGCAGAGCTGCAGCCTGCCCCCCCTTCACCGTTATTCGGAGCACGGTAGGAATTAAGCTTATCAATCTGCCCACCCAAATCTTATCCACCGCGATGATCTTGGGATCCTCGGGTTAGACACAGCCCTTCGCCCATCCTGTTTTCAAGCCTTGGGCATCGCAGACTATGATACCGGTGCCCCATCCTGTTTGTCCGCCAAGAAAAATGGTGTAAAAAGCCCTCCATTCCCCCCTCGTTTCTCACTTTTCATCGCCTTCGGATCCCCTGGTATCATACAATTATACCGGTATCCCCTAATTTCTGTATCATACGGTACCGGTAGACCACTACACACGAAATAGCCATGCCCCGCCTAGCCTTTAGACCACCTCTCTTCAATTCTGCGAGCCCCTGGGCTACGACAAAGACTGATCTACAAGACCTCTACAACTCTCCCTTCACCGGTGCCGTAACTACCCGCACTTCACTCCTTGCGGGATTTCCCCACGACCCTTCCATCCACCAACACACCCTTTTCGATTCCCCCACAACTAGCCTTAACACGTATGGCTATTCACCGCACCCCCTAAAGTTCTACCTCGATACCGTAAAATCTATAATTACAGACACTGGCAAACCGCAGACGAAACCCTTCATTATATCCATCACGGGCACTCCCGAGGAAGTCGCGGAGGCTGTGGCCACTGTTAGCGACGTTGCCAAGGTTGGTTACAATCTCCTTGTTGAGGTTAATTTGTCATGCCCGAACATTCCCGATAAGCCACCTCCCGCGTATTCCCTGCCGGAGTTGAGGGCGTACTTGGATCTGCTGTCGAAGCGGAAGGAGGGAGTTCCGATCGGACTCAAGACACCACCCTACACATATGATGCTCAGTTCCGGGTCCTCTTGTCGGCGTTGAAAGCATACCCTTCGCTAGTATCCTTCATCACCTCAACAAATACTCTCGGATCTTCCCTACACCTCTCCTCGCAGCCTTTGCTAGCCGTGTCCGGGGATAGGCGGGTTGTGTACCAACCTACTTTGTCGTCTCCCGCTAGGACAGGGATAGGTGGGCTGGGTGGTGCGTCGATTCATTGGCTGAGCTTGGGGAACGTCAGCACTATTCGACAGATGTTAGATCAGGTGCAAGAGTTAAAGGGCATAGTGGTTATCGGCGTCGGTGGAGTGGGCGATAGAGATGGGTGGCAGAGGATGTTGAGCGTTGGAGCAGAAGGTGTGGGGGTTGCTACAGCGCTCGGAAAGAACGGCGTTGGTGTGTTTGCAAAGATCTCGAGCGAGGATTAGTGGTACGTATGATATGTATATTAGAGGATTTGCGCAGTCTGACCTCGGTGGGAGCTATCAATAGTGTTTCTAGAGGCTCTCGCTTTCATCGGGAGCCCATGAAACCCCCTCGGCGGGTGTCGGGCTTCTCAAACTCGGTCCCTCCAAGAGGTCAATATAGTGACAAATTCTCGAGTGTCTCGGGACTGCTCTTGTCAAGATTATATTCAAGGAGCACGGCTGTCAAATGGTGTTCTTAAAAGGCATCATGGGATGGTCGAAGTTTGCACCTAGGGCCCTCGGCTCCTGTCCAGTTGCGCAGTTTTTACGCCTCGACCAAGTGGGATCGAGGAACCAAGTCGCCATTAACTCATGTCAAGGCCACCCTAGTCTCTCCGCGCAAATCCTCTTACCCGAGTACAGCATTTCCCTAAGCTTAATATCCCGGCAGCCCGTGAAATCCTAGAAGCTAGAGGCTGGTGCGCCCGTGGCGTGTATGGTTGCGTTTTTCAAGATGGTAACGCTCCAGGATCGCTGCCATACCGAGTACCATATTTAAAGGCAGTTTTCCAACCCTCAACCACGTCAATATTCCCGTATATCATACCCTTCCAGATTCAAAGAAATCGCTGCAGTGTTATGCCAACCCCACAATCAACCACACTTTCTTATTAAGCCCTTCCGAAACATTGGCCCCAGTGAATTGTGGAATACCAATAAAACGACATCACTCAAACACGGTAGAATCACCCAAAATCTCTGCTGTAGCTCCAAACGCACGTTTAGATAGAGAGAGCTATTTCTGTTCGATTCACTTTTCTTTCCTTAGATTTTTCTACTTGTTGACCCTCACCGATTCGAACATTCCCCCGCATCGTCTTATCGGAGGACTTTAATCCAGCTCCAGCTCGCTAACACTCGGTCCCAAATTTTGGGATCTGACCCTCAGAGCAGACATGCTCTTAGCACAAACTCCCAATCAAACCCCATTAGATGACGCCTGTAACAATTATACAGTAGGTTAAACCGTTATAAAAAGGCCTTCAATCCTCCCCCCAAGAGGCGAGGGAGCATTGTTCGAGGATATGTTATGACACCGTCGCAAATTATACATTCAGACCTATAAATACATCATTCAGTAAAATCTATGATACCACAGAATCTAGAACCCTCTTCCTCAAACCCTCGCCAGTAATTCAGGGTGCAACGCGCACTAGCGTATGATATGATACCTCCACCCGCCAGATGCGAGTTTGCCTCCAACAAAACCCTAATAGTTATGATACATAAAAACACGCGCTACCTTGTCCCCTCGTGGCCTTTTTTTCCTCCTTTGTATGATAATCGCCCGGGACATTTTGTTGCATCAGCCGGCATCCGCTTCACACACTTCGGAATCGCAACGCTTTGTGTAAGATACCCTCTCCCTAACTAACCGCCTTGATTGCTCGCTCCGGGAAGGTGCGCCTCCCCTCTTTTTACATTGCAGTGTTCCGGTGTCTGTGGAGCTCAAACGCGTTGAGGAGTATCCATTGCCGCAATCTCAAGGATTGGGAACGCTTGGTTCTCTTATTGTTTCGGCCCTGGGAAGGGGTAGGAACTCGAGGAGAGTAGAGATATGCTAAGCTTGATTCTATAGGTTGGTCTCTCTCTCTTTATCGTCGCAATGTCTCGGGTAGGTATATGGTTAGGTTGCGATAAACAACAGGCTTGAGGTAGTGTATGGGGGGTCTCCGGATAACGCAATCGCAGTCACTAACACTCGGCCTGGGTCCTAGATAGCCGGATCCACGGTATATCACAGAAGTGGGGGATGGGAATGGGAAGGGAGACTTCCCGGAGAAAACCCCCAATCACCAGACCCATTCACGGCAATCAATCCAGAGTAGTTCCTTCAAGCAAGCAAGCACTCGAATTCACCCCAAACAATACAGATCGGCGGAATTTCACGGCATCTTCTGCCCACGAAAGTACACTAGAGAAAAACTGTATATTTCCAAAGTGAGAAAACAACCCTTCTATAAAGCTCAGTCATCTCCCTTCCGAAGCCCAGCAACGTCAACAGCATTTCCCCACCCCTCGGTCCCGTTCTTGGCATTAAGGGCCAATTCGCTAACCCCCTTCGGACCCTGCTCCATCCCCTTCTGCTGAGCATCGCCCTCCTCGTCGGCCCAGTATGCCTCATCGGCAAGCGCATCCCTGGTGACCTTACGCTCAACCTTATGCTCGATGTGCTTGGTCTCGGCCTCGTCGACACATTTGGCGCACCCGCATCTAAGTCTAAGGCGATACCACATTCCGTCCATGGGGTCCTTGTACACGTTCACGAAAACCTTACGGACAGGACACATGTAGGCATAGATGTACTCGGCTGGGATGTAAGCCTTCCCGAAGCCCCCGCCGCTCCCGGTATCGCCAGGCCCGTGGGTGTCCACATGCGGAGAATTAATCTTGACGCAGGCTTCGGCTGTTGTCACCATTGCACCCTCGAAGTTAGTACATCGCCGCTTCATTGGCTGGCAGGATAGTGAAGAGAGAAGGGGGGGTGCGAACTATTGAGAAGACGGCCAAGATGGTGACGCATGACATGCTCGGTAAGAGTGGAGAGACAAGACACAGTCTCACCCGGAGCGAGAGGGAATGCGATGACCTGGGGGCACCAGGGGCAGTATTGAATGTTTGGGGAGGTTGAATTTGTGGAAGGCATTTCGGAGATTTTATAGTCGTCGTTGTTGGGTAAATTTGGTTTTTTTTTTTTCGGTGAAGATGGGTTGGGAAGCGAAGAGGTTGAGTAGATTGAGTGGATCAGTCGCAGCGTGAGTGTTCCAATGAGTAGCTATCACCTGCTCGTCATAGAAGGTTAGGTGTTGAAGGAAATTAGAATTGAAGAAGCGAGGGGGGAGGGGAGGGGAGGTGGGAAACTAACTGACAAGCGAATAGACCGTGATGTGGAATATAGAGAGTAGGGAAGAGAAGGAGGATATGAGAGCCAATGTAAGGATAACATCCTCCCCCCCAGTATAAACACCCAAAAAGCCAGAGTATGCATCAGAAGAGCCATGATGACAATATAGAATATAGGAAATACTCGGCGTTCACCCCCATACTATAAATCCAAGCTTGGAGTGACAAATACAATCCGCAGCACCCATCAAGTCAATTGAACCTTGAACCCACCTCTCGATGAGGGGACAACAATCGTATTACCGATCCAACATTATCGGGTACAATTAGACTAGCAAACAAATAATCCCCGACTCAATTCCTCTACAATACCATATCAGCACCACAGGAACAACCTACACCCCCCCAGTGAGACCACAGGAAACAAATAAATGAACTGTCACTATATGCTATTGGATGATATCATATATAGAAGACTACCTAAGTAGAAGCATCAATTTCGATTGTGAAAGCATATAGTCGTTGATATTGTGGATATCTGGGAATGATTGTGAATGTAGGTTTTTTACCTATTAGCTTGCTTGTCTTGACCACAGTTAGTTTTTCAACAAGGTCGGGATTCAAGGGGTCGCTGGGAGGGTGGGTAGAGTTGAAGGTAAATTAACCGGCTTCGATACGGTTGTACTCGAGGTTGCTGAGTGAGAGCGAGGAGTCTGCCGTATCGATCAATAAATAGAGATTGGCGTTGTGTGTGATCAAGGTTCTAGGTATGGTAGGCGGGTTCACCTGGAGCAGGAATACCTTAGGGAGGGAATATACGCTGTAGCGATATAGACTGGACTGGTCCCTTGGTATGATAAGTAATTGTTCCTAGGGCATTAAGCTAAAAGCTGCGTATATATCTAGGGTCTTGAGACTTCAGCTCTATTTCCTATATATGCTGCAACCCCACTGGGCTAGGTAGGCTTTCTAGAACTTGGACATATATCCTGACTCCAACTCCAACTAGCAGGTCTAATGATGCCCCCCCCCCAATAACTGTGGTCTAACTATCCTGGTGAACTGGGAGCTTTCCACCCACTATGCATGGACTATCATTCGCCGCCTATGATACCTCCTAAAGGACCAGAGGTAATTCGTATTCATAAGTCCCCACTCTGGGAAGAGGCTTGAGACGCTAGAATTTCCACGCTTGTTGTGGTGGCGGCGGTCGCGGTATCATTTTGGTCGCCTGTGTCATATGCGATCACTCGGATCCAGTTCTGAATCTTGGTGTTTTATGACTTCACAGCAGTGAAGGCTTCTCTACTCCCCGCAGTGCTGCCAGACCAGCGGTCCCCCCGGTCACTTCCCGTACCATACCCCCCTCTTTCCCTCCTCTCAATACCACGTCCAGCGAGCTCTTATGCTCCTTTCTCGTCCTTCGAGTTATCATCACACTAATTTGTAAACAAACACCCGTCAAAACCGCCGCCCATCCTGAATTTGACCCAAAACAATGCAAAGGTGGCTTGGTATATTGTGCTGTCCGAAGTATTTACCGCTCGTTAGACGTCGGTTGGGATTCCCAATTCTCTGTGCATTTTGAACTTCCTTTTTTTTTTTACTTCCCCCTCTAAACGACCCACTCCGGCACGCTATAGTTGCCGCGATCCACTGCCTCAACCCAATAAAGCTTGCTTGCCAAGGGACCTCTGGTGTGCATTCCTACCGCCGTGCGATTCTAACCACCAGGGGCTTTATTAGTTTCGGGTGGTGTAGGCATAGCCCACCGCCGCGACCGCCACGCACTGCTTAGATAATGGGAGATGGTAGGTTCATTACTGCGTACAAACACCGAATTATGGGGATACTTCCGTGGGGAATAAATTGTGGGATTAGCCTCCCGCACAGTCGTTGGTTTAAACGTGAGGATACAACCTAGCAAACCCCAAACTTGCGTCTACTCTGCCTAACAAGCCACTACTCTCCGCGTCTAACTTGCCCATACCCAACATGACAGCCTGGGGAATTGGTTAGTAATGGATCTACCCTCTGGAATTTGTTTTAAGGATGTAATTACCCTTATTAGAAGTCGATTCTTCTGTGCTGGCATTACTAAATGGGGAGGTTGTGGCTAGATGCATACATGGTTGAAATGCAGCTCTGCAAGGAGGTGTGGCCATTAGTGGGGGGGGGTTAGCGTTCCGTGAGCATTGCAATTGTTTTGAGAAAAAACCTGCACATGTCTAAAGCCACAGCTAACAAGGCGGTATCATCGTAGATTGAAGTTTGAGGAGGGAGATGAGGAAGTGGAATTTATGGTGTGGTTCATAGGTTCCCCGATCCCTAATTGACGGGTAGATGAAAGTCGTTCCGGCAGTGTTTGAGCACCACGGCTGTTGAAAACCCGGCCAGAACGAACCCCCAAGTATCATACCTCCTCACCAGAAAGCGTTCCGCAATGAGCAAACTGCACAACGTAGTCATTATGACAATGGATTTGGCGCCACTAGCAGCAGCTCTAGATGTAAAGTCCACATCCTTTGCTTTTCTAGTAGCCCCCTCTCACCCTCCCTCTCTACGGCCGCATTAAATTATAACCCCCCCCGCTAGATAATGCCAGCAAGGCTCCGTAGCGAGGCAGTAGTGTCTTTCTGGAAGGCACCTCCTCCCTTCTAAATAACCTGCGGTCTTCCAACCAATCTCCTCAACCCCCTCCGACATATTCGGCCGAAAACCACTAACCTTAATAGCCCTAACCCTTTAACCCCTGCGCCACAATCTGCCGCCTTGCAGACAACTCCGCGGCCATCTCAGCAGGACGCAGCCTCCGAGGCACAGACGGCGACGGAATCCTAGTCTCCAATCAAACCGCAGCGGCTTAGGCGATGACGCGGGCACTAGACTCGTTCTCCGGACCGGCCGTTGGATGCGCGTCCGCGGAGGAGGTCGGTGAGTTTTCTGCTTGGGCCTCCCATTCAGCGGAGCGGGGCTTGTTTGCTTGGTTTTGTTTCCCAAGCTGCATTGGGAGAGGAGCGGGGTCGGGGGTACGCTCGCCCGTGTGGACTAGGTTGGCGAGGTGGTGTTTGTGGGGAGTGTTACTAGATACTTATTCCTGTGAGGCGGGGTGGAATCATGTATTCATTTATCCCTGAAATAACCCAAGGACGCTGGTGCCCCTGATAATGGGAGCCCCGGGTGTTGGTGGGTTTGTGATGTCCGAGGACAGTGCCGGGGAGTCCGATGATCCTGCTGGAGATTTTCGGGAATGAAGGAAGGGTGGTTACGTATATCGGCGGGGTGACTGACCCATGGGATGATTGCAGGCTTCAATTCTGTGAGGGGCTTCCCCAAACTAAAGCGTCAGCCTGGGGAGCATCGCACCATACCCTATCGCATGATACTCCGAAGGCGTGAAACTCGCTGTTAGGAGTCTCTGTATTCCCTCAAAGTTTATGCTTTCTCCCTTTCCCCATCTCTGCTTGTTCCCCACCATTCCTAACCCATTGCAGCGTGGTGGCTTCAACCTCGGTCATAATTGGCATAATAACCTTCAAAACCGGAAACTTCCGCTGGCATTGTTGCTTTCACATCCTATGCTGGTAGGCATATGAGAAGTGTTTTTAGTTTTGTTTATACCTGCTGCCATCAGGCATTTAACTATCAGGTATTTGGTTTGGGGTGTTTTTTTTCATACTCCATGCCATTATGCATAAGGTAGTTGGCTTTGCTTGTTTCTTATATGATATCCCGGTCGGCATAAGGCACGGCTTTTAGGTATCACGGAGGATCATGATGTATCATAATCATATCAGGATAGTTCTGGGTTGTTTGGGGCTGGAGAGCACCGCGGTTTGTCAGGATGGTGCGCTCCCTCGGAGGCCGTTGTGCTTTGTTTGGTTTCTGGATTTTCCAGCCAACGGGAGATGTATATACATATACTTGTCTATCCTTCGTTAGGATCACTATCTGATCTAGTTCACCACTCTCTTACGTTCACCAGTTCTGTGCCCACAGCGATCTCACTCTCACCGCTCCACCCTTTACTAGTTTTCCTCAGGTTTCTTCATAGCCAAACTCCTGGTACCGCTATCGGAGGAGGGATCCATTAGAATTCCTTGAAAAAGCAACTGGGTAGAGCACCGGAGTTTGCCGAACCAGTCGTGAACTATGCACACGATGCCTCTCTATTGGAAGAAGTGCTCAACGGAATGCACGGTTGGACAGTGAGGCATGATTGGGTTTTCAGCTATAGGTTTATTGATTAGTCTAACGAGGAAGTGGTTGAGTGGACAGCAAGCGATATGGTGGGGTGGGTGAGATGTAGATTTCCGGGGGTTCGAAATTCCCTTTTGAGCTTAGGACTTACAAATATTGGCTTGTGGTTCAGATAAACAGTAAGTGCTTTCTGCAGGAGGAAATTTGTACA